TTACAACAACGGTCAGTGAGTCTCATAACCTTTGCCTTCCGCGGTACTGTTCAACAGTTAACATAAGTGCTAGTGTAATCCTTCAATCAAAGACCAACTGAATAGAGAATACACTACAGTCTTTTTCCAAGTGGGGTCTCACTGCCAGTCTAGACTGTGAACGAATAGTTTAGTCTTATAAGGAACGGATAGGTGATCTTTCTGTTCGAAACTCTTCGAACCACACTACCTCAATATAGGGCATGGAGTATGTATTGCATAAATAAATAAACTGCAAACATATGTACTTTGACCGAAACATGATTGACAGATCAAAATGGAATTGATAGAATCTGCAAAACATAGCTTTTACAGCATACCTCTAACAATCTCCCACTTATGCTTTATAAGCTCATGGCTAAACAAAAATAACCACAATTTCTTTCAATCTAATTCTCAAAGACTAGTCTTCTATGTTGCCCAAACATCTGACTCCCATTCCTTGTACGTGTCTCGTAAAGACTTTTGCCGGTAGGCTCTTCGTAAAAGGATCTGCTAGGTTGTCCTCTGATTGTATCTTGGCAACAACGACTTCTCCTCGTCCAACGATTTCTCGTATCAGGTGGTACTTGCGCTCTATGTGTTTACTCGCTTTATGAGTTCGTGGTTCGTTCGAATTTGCTACTGCTCCGCTGTTATCACAGAACATTGTGATTGCAGCGGGCAAACTCGGCACCACGTTAAGGTCGAGGAGAAAATTCTTGAGCCAGACAGCTTCTTTCACTGCCTCTGAGGCTGCTACATACTCAGCCTCCATGGTTGAGTCCGCCACGCATTTCTGCTTGACACTCCTCCATACTATGGCTCCTCCTCCTAAAGTAAACACAAACCCTGAGGTTGACTTGCTTTTGTCCCGGTCTGCCAGAAATTCAGAATCCGTGTAACCCAACGGAAGCAACTCATCTGCCTGGTAAACAAACATGTACTCCTTAGTCCTACGAAGGTACTTGAGTATATGCTTTACCGCAGACCAATGTTCTGGTCTTGGATTACTCTGATATCTTGCTACCATGCCCACGGCATAACAAATATCAGGTCGCGTGCACAACATAGCATACATGAGGCTTCCTACTACCGATGCATAAGGAACTGCCTTCATGTCCTCTATCTCTTGAGGCGTCTTCGGGGACATCCTCTTAGATAGAGGTATTCCATGTCGAAAGGTAAATCCCCTTTCTTGGAATCCTGCATGTTGAAACGCTTTAGGACAGTGTCTATGTA